TTGAAAAAGACCTGGGCCCTATTTGAGAGATTCATTATGTAATGCGGAGGCAAAAATATACCTACGCACATAAATGTAACTATGATATGGTATTTATACTATATAAAATCATTTAAAATTTTTTAAGATTCTTTGCCAGCAATGGTTTATATTTTTACCCTTAGAAAAATTGCTAAAGTGTCATCCTCTTTCCTTATTATCCCTTTTAAATTATGGTTTTGTTCAGAATTAAACAAAGGCCACCTACAGACTAGACTCTACCCTCTCTACCTGCTGAAATACTTTGCTCTTACTGGCAGTTAAAAAAAAAAAAAGTCAGTTGATTTAATAAAATGCTCTTAATTAAATGAACTAAATGTCCCTGCTTTCTCTTGTTTTTGACTGTCAATAACCCACTCTGTCCATCTCATAGAAAACAACAGTTAAATTCCTAAGTATTGCCATGTTCTTCTCCATCATCTAAGCTCTGTAATGCAAATAAAAATGTTTCCCAATTAAAATTACCTAGCTAAGTAGAAAAATCAATGAAAAACAGAAATCTAGTATTGTTGCTTCCAAATAATTAGGGTTCAACCAGAGGTTCAACCCTAGAGCTCAACAATATCTACTGTTTGGGGATTTGGCAAGAATTTATTAATCCTCTCCCACCCCCCTTTATTAGATGTGTTAACCTTTCTTTTCAAAGTACAATTAGTTAAAAATGGAAATTCAGCACCAGCACACACAAAGTTGCAGTTGCTTTCTGAGGTATGAGGCCAGACCTAATTAGCTGATCCCATTCTAAGGCCTACTGAACCACTTCAGTTGCCACTCAAGGAAACACAATTCCTTGCTCACAGCAATGCAACAGATCTCTCTACTGGCTTATATGACATACACATACACAAACTCTTGTAGTTCAGTTGGGTTTTCATTTGTTTTGATGAAAACTGTCAAGTTCTACTTAATTAATATCTCCTTTCTGATTATTCTGATTCCTTGTCCAGCAGCCACTGCAATGTACAATACTAACTCAATTATAAAACTGGGTTCTATGGTGGGAACTCATATCCAGATATCCCCTCTCCTGGAAGAAAGTCAATTCTGACCAAGTGCCTAACTGGTCTTGGGCCTGACACTCTCTTTTACATTAGAGCCCAATACAGGAATTTAAAGATCAATCTCTTTAATGATCTCCTTCTTCAATATTCACAATAGGTATCTTCTTGTATAATGTTTTTAAAACTGTAAGTTGTGAATTAGAGGGTCTTAAAATTACATAGCAGCTACCAGCAGTTTGCTGTTATTGTTAGAGAAACAGAATAGAAAATGCCACTATAGTAAGAGTTAAGTGTTTTTTCACGAAATTTGTTTAAATAAATCTTGTATATATGTGGGTGCTGGATTGCAATATAAGATGTTTTTCCTACTGTTGTTTGTAGTAAAAAATAAAATAAAATAAAAGTGAGCAACATTTCTACTAAATGACTTCCTTTGAGGCATCAACTAAATGTTAAGTCCCAGAGTTCTTGATTTGTGGTTGCCTAGACAATACGTGGACAATCTGTCCTTTCTGTTACTTCTTTGTGAAATGCCCAGAGTTGTTATCTTTTTCTCTGTTCAAACTTTTACTCTCTTTTTCAACCTCAAACAAGAAAAAGCATATGGTTCTTCGCAGCTCACTTTCTCTTTTACATTATCTCTATGAAGCCTGACAATGCTGTGCCATAAAAATTACCTTCACACAAGAGGCTAAGGAATTGCCCAGGGTTCCAGTGTGGACACTCACTTGCTCCACCCCTCTGAGTCCACCAAATCCTCTCTTCAGTCTACATTCCCAGAGACTCACAAGAGAGGGAGAACAACTTGTTACTTAGAAAATGGTGGTGAAAGAAGTGCCCCTACAAGTTCTCTTGTTTGACTTGTGGTAAATAAGAAGAAAGGCCTCAGGTTGGTTATTAGATAAAATGTAGTCTAGTCATGCCAGGAAGGAGACTGTCACTCACCTCGCAGTACCATGTACCTGAAGGCAGTTGCAGAGGTCCAGCCTGAAATCCTGGGGGATTTCTCAGTGTGTTTCCAGCACCATTTGCATTAGCACCACCTGGAGGGCCTGGTTGAAAAAGCAGGCTCTGGTCTCACCCCTACCCCAACCACACTTCACCCTCAGATCAACTCTCTGAGGGTGGGCCCAGGAATGTGTATTTTTAAAACCAGATTGCCCTTCCCTCTCCCTAACTAGTATGCTTCTAAAAAGTTTAACAAAGACCTAATGGTTTTCAACCCCAGACCAGCTCTGAGCTAACTCCAACACAATCACTCATGCTATGTTTCCACTTTGAGATAAATCCTGGGAAGTTGGATTTTTCCCAAGCCCCAACCCCTTTCCACAGTCGATATGGATGATTAGTTGGTTTAGAAAAGCACTGTTTCAGATGATAACTAACTCATTGATAACTAAATCAGAATTCAATGCTGGCCAAGCTTCATTTCAAACAGCAGGTCCGCCAGGACAACCTAGGAAGTGACCATGGAAAAAATAGCAGATGAAAGAGCACTGCAGATACCAAGGGAAGGCCAAGGCCACTCTGATCTTGGACGATTGGGTAGAAGAAGAGAGTGACTTGGTCCACAGCTGCACAGACAGAGCCAGGCCTGGGGAAAACTGAGAAGAGAATAAAATCTGTCTTGAGTCCCTCCCAATTCCCCTTCCCTTTGACTCTTATACTCCCCCACCCCAAACTGCTCTAGTAGGTTAGACTATCTGATAACATAATTTATATTCAAGTAATAATGACAACTTGAAACTACCTCCCAGGGGCACAGACTTCTTAATTTCCATTTTAATAAGTGTTATCACCAGAGGCCTTAAACCAAAAGAAATCATCTGTAGTTGGAATTTCAGGCTCTAAAAAAAATACATGAGTGTGGATAGGAAGAAGTAGGAGTGGGCTGGGGACAGGAGGAAGAGGAATTTGTCTTGTATCCAAAACAACATATAAGAAAGGCAAGCACCTCTTCTATGGATGTCAAGACCATACCCCCACATTTACTGGGCACCTGCTATGTCTGTCTCAGGACAGTGCCTCCTGGACCTGCTGGCTTTGGGGTCTTGCCCAAAGAACCAAGGAAAGTGGTTTGTACTACTGAGGGGAGGAGAAAACATTATATTAAACAACCACTAGCTTTAAATGACCTTAGTCCATGCTGTGTTGTACCTATGAAGCTTTTGGTAGGTTTTAAACATGCTCCTTAGATTTTTAGATCAGCCAGATGGCATTCTAATTGTCACTCGGGGCTTTTTAAAAATAAACCACTATTTCTTTTCTGAAAACAACATAATCTTATGCAATCAGAATTCCTTGGGGAGTGGCCAAAGACAAGGTACCAGTCTTTCCCCAGCATTTACCTATAAAACCTTTACACACACACACACACACACACACACACACACACACACACACACACACAAAGGGTCCATGTGACATTTGGAGCTCAGTGTCTCCATTTTGAAGCTGTGAGGCCTGTGGCTGACTCTGGGGATGTGGCCACACAGGGCTTAGGAGAATCGGGCCCAGAAAGCACCTGGTGCTTGTACACAGCAGAGGGAGGAGAGCAGTACCTGTGCACCTGAACCAGGAAGTCCCCACCTCAGCATTGGCCAGCAGACTTTGGCAGGCATCTTCCCCCACTTCCTGGCTTTTAGAAAGTGCAAAGTTGCACATGATTACCAAACAATCTCATTAACAAGTTATAAGTTACAATGAGCATATTATATTGCATCTTCTAACTAAAGCCAACCCTGGGGGAGGGGGGTTGTTTTTAAAAATAACTCCACTTAAGTGAGTCCAAAGCACAACACTAAGAGAGTAGCAACTCCAGAGAAACAAAAGGATGAGGGAAATAAGAGGGCCTCAGAAGTCCTGTTGAATCTTACCTTCCATCTCCAAGTTATGACAGTAGTAAGACTTGATACTCACAAAATATCTATTCCCACATTTATTTGCCTGTTAGGGAACTTCAGCAAACAGCTCCCAAATTACTGGGCTTTCTCTATTAAACTTGCAGCATTTTCTTATTGTAGTTGAGTATAACATCTTATACACCCCTTTTTCCTAAAAAGCTGTGACAGTGACTCCTACAGAAAAGTCTCAGAAGTAAATATCATGAGTTAGCCTAGATAAAAATTGTTGAAGTGTAAATATTCTCACATATATGTATATATGTAAATTACAAATAAATTACACATGGTGTTAGCATAATATGCTCTCAATTCTTAACTTATATGTAAATATTAGGCAAACATATTCAGGAAGATATGACAAAAATTTACATCATGAACTATATTTAATTTAAAAAAATACTGTGTGTGCTGGCCTTGAGTAAAATATTACACTTCTTCATTCCATGTTTAAATGGTTTTAGCCCTCCCAATGAACACTCCAACCATAGGACCGAATGACTCTTTCCTCCTTATAGCCAGATCTTTGAGGTCAGAAGACAAAAATGACAAAGAGCCTGCGAGAAAAGTTTACTGGGTCTTAAGAATCTGTAGACAAGAAAGGTTAGGATAAGTTTAGCCTGTTTATCACATGCTGGAATTCAACTCAAGTCATTTTACATCCGTCTTCTCTTGCTGTAAATATATACAGTGCATTCCATGAAAACTGACACCAATGTTGGCAAAATACAACAGACCTTCCTCTATGACATGTCAAATAGATTAAAAAAAAAAAAAAATCTGAGCTCCAAGAATACATCTCTTGGTGCATTGAGCTCCAGAAAGCATCAGCTTGTTTTAATCTCTTCCCCCGCAGCTGCGAAAAGGCTGATTTCAACCTGTGTAAGATCTCTGGGCCCCATAGGTCCGCAAGTCTCCTGGTCCTTTCCAGCCCCAGATGATAGGAAACAAGGTATCTGAGACCAAGAGCGGCGGGGGACAGTGTAGAGGGTACCTTCATGATAGTTGCTTCTTTCAGAGAAAGGCATGCAAGTCTTGTTTTTAGGAAAGAATCACTTACTCTGTCACGGCGGAGCCGCTGAAGGAATTATCCTGAAGGCTGAAACAGAAACAAGAAAACATCAGCCAAGTCCAGCGGGGGAGCCGCCTCCCTGGTCGCTCTCCGGGAGTTAGAGCGCACACACAAACATGGCATTGCAAGGCAAATCTCAGGGCTCGCCCGGCACGCCAGCTCTACCTTGGGCTGCTGTCTGCACATGCTCGCAACGACACCCCCAGCAGGGGCCCAGCCTCGCTGCGAACCACAAAGCCCGGCAGCCCCCGAGGCTGCGGGCACCGCGCTGGGCGGGGCGGGGCACTTGGATGGAGCGGGACTCGGGCGCCGGGTCCTCCCCGCAGGGAGCACCTGGAGAGGGACAGCGGACCCCCAACCTCGCCGGCCCTGCGCCACCGCGTTGCATCCAAGCCTCTGGGTGCCAGCCACCCCCGGAGCTGGCAATCGGAAAGCCCAACTGTTTCTGCCGGGTGCCCAGACCCGCAGGGGGAACTTGCTTTCTGGCACAGGGCTCTTACCAGTTTCACAGAGCTACCCCCTCCGGAGATGGAAGCTCGCAGAGATTCATCCATCCTTCAGGAAAAGCCGGGAGGGGACTAGGAGGGGGAGGGGACGAGGAGAAAGAGGAGGAGGGGAGATGGCTGCTGTTTCTGTTTTACTAGGATCGTGTGTGTGTGTATGTGTGTGTGTGTGTGTGTGTGTGTGTGTGTGTGTGTGTGTGTGTGTTGTTTTACATGTATTGCTCAGGAAAGAGAAGGAGGAGGGGGAGGGCCCCGCATCACACCCGGTCTGTCTGCTCCCTGTTATTTCAGTCCTTGAGAGGAAGCACCTAGCCCCGGAGGACGGAGCTGTGATGTGAATGAGCCCACAAGGGCCAGTGGGGAATGTATTCCAGGCTTTAGCGGGGACTGAGAGGGACCCTGCAAGAGGAGGGGCTTCCCACGCTCGGAGCAGCCCCAGAAGCTCCGCTCCCAAGCACCTTTACAAAAGATGAAAAATAGCATCCACAAAAGCTATCCCCTTTAGACAAAAGCAGCCCAGCTTAATGAAAGGAAGGCTGTGCGCTCCCATTGGCTTCCCCCTGGGGATGTTTGTCCTGCCCTCTTTCCTTTGTTCATTGCTCCTGCCAGCTTGACCTTGATGGGGAATGAACAGTCATCTGTGAAAGACGCTGGTTTTTGAATTAGGAAGACCCCTTCCCCCACTTTCTAAACTCTCCACTCCCAGGAGCAGTTGAGATGGCGGTTTTTAGTCCAAACTGTATAAGCAGATGAGTTTTAATTTATAACAACAACAAATACCACCAAATTTTTACTTTCAGAAACTTAGGAAATTACTCCAAATTCAGTAATAAGGGCAAAAGCATGAATTTTCAGTATCACACTGACATTGTTTCAGAGCCCCCCCCCCCCCCCCCCCCCCGCAAGGACCCCTTAATTCTCCGAGAAAATGTACTTGTGTTTCATTTTGCTATTCACGTTAGGTTAGATCCCAAACACTGTGTAGTTACCTGCTCACTTGCACTTTTTGTCCAGTCCGTAGGGAGGAAAAGAACCTCGATGGTATGGTTTTGTTGCCCTGTACACCTTTAACCAATTTTGCATCTAACCTAACAATCTGATACTAACGTTCTTTCCAAATACTGGTAGAAATTCAGATCCTCAAAATGCTCCTGGAACCAAGGGCATCACCATCTTACAGGTTCTCTCATTAATGCATAAGTAGATCTCTGACGTGTGCCTACATGTGTAAGAGAGTCGTGTTCTCAGCTGTTTCAACTTAATACTTTGAAAAATCAAAATTGAGTTTTCAAAGACAAGCAGGTTTAATTTAAGGCCCTTTGCAATTTTACTTTTGTCTCTTGGAATCTTTTCAAAAGCAGCTGACTAAAAACCTAAATGGTCTTAGACCTGAACTCTGTTAACTAAATACATTTAGAAACATTCATCCTTTGAATGATTAAAAATACTATAGACAGCCGCCAGCCTCATATGAGCTAGGTTCAAGAATGTATGTGTATTCATTATTTAGCCATAACTAAGGTCAGTTCTTTCTATTTTATTGAAGCTGATAAAAGGTACGTCTATATTCAGTCTTTTTGGCTTTACAGATTCAAAGGTAGCCAATTTTCAGAAATTCTTTTTACTCATTGCCTATGGTACTGATTCCAAATGTCCTAATGCGGAGAAAGATCATACTTTTCTCATTTAAGCATTTTCAGTGGCCCATCTGGAATGGAAAATGGCTTTTAACTTTGAAACAGGACTTAGACAAGTATATAAAATAATGTGGGCCCTTTGAATATAACATGAAATAACAACTACATAAAATAAATGCAGCCCTGGCCTGCCAGGGAGCTCAGTTGATTAATGTTGTTCCCATACGCCAACGTTGCAATGAATGCATCCATAAGTGGAACAAATCTCACTCTCTCTCTCTCTCATTAATCAATCAATAAAAAATAAAATAATAGGTCGGCCAGTGTCGCTCAGTGGTTTAATGTCAGCCTATGAACCAGGAGGTCACAGTTTGATTCCCGGTCAGAGCACATGCCTGGGTTGCGGGCTCCATCCCCAGTTGGGGACATGCATAATAAATGCTATATTCAATAATGCCCATAGAAAAGAAATAAGAATTCTTATCAGCTCATGGCTGGTATAAAACAAAAATAGTTTAGGTAGTATTCATATTCAATGAAAATAATTTGTTGATATAGCTCATTACCTTTTTTAAAAAAATGTCCCAGGAAAACAGTTATTTGGCAATATGCAAAAAATAATCAACCATTTAATTTTATTTCTCCATCATCTCTTCCAACATTATTTGTTTTCATATTAAATCAGGTTTAGACATTATTTTTATAGTTTCTAAGGCCTTTTTTTATTTTGTTTTTATAATTTGAAGTATTCAACTTGGAACAGAACAGAACTGATGAATGAATAATCATACAACATCTGGCTATTTTAAAGACACTGTATGACTAAATAGCAGTTGAAGGTGAGTTCAAAAAGAGAAGCAGAGAAGCCAATATTGAAGTTCTAGAAGAAGAAAGTTCTAGACCAGTGTTTCCCAAAGTGTCTTCAGTAAAAATTTCTAGTCTTCCAGATGATCCAAGAAAAGGAAAGGAAAAAAAGAGTTAGATGGTCGAAATAAGTTTTTGAATGGATGTAGCTTATAAATTCACATTGCACATTAGGCAACAAAGAAATGTATTTCATTGTCTTTTAATCAGTATTTCTCAAACTCATTGAAGACCAAACATTTTGTTAAATATGTTAACATTATGTTGAACTGGGAATTTTGAGAAAAGGTTTCCTAAGTATATCAGAGAAAAAATGCAAAACAGATTAACTAGTATAATTATTCATTGAACAAATGCATGAAAAGATAATGCCATATGCTTGTCACTAGTCAATAGCTATAAATAAGACAGACACAGTCCTGTCATCATAATATTTTAGAGTAATTGTGCATTGTATGTATATGTGTGCAAATATATAATACTTAATCTGTATATATTATATATAACCCTATTTTGAAATTGTAAGTAGAATTAGAGGAAAATGAAAGCAATAGATTTAAGTATGGGTAATTCACTTACATGTTAAATGTTATAATGTTTTACTTTATCAGTGCTCCTAAAACCAAACTAAATTTCAGATTTAATAAGAATAGCCTCTTTATTGTAATTGAAAACCTTTTTATTCTAATGTATTGAATTGCCTTATGCAAAATCTAAACCAATGCCATAGTGTTCAAGAAGGAAATTTATAGAGTTGTCAAGGTTTAAGACCCACCACTTGCTAGTAGTTTGAATTCTGATAACCACTCCATGCCCAAGTTTTCTCTTCTGTTAAGTGGAGATAATAATAACCTATGTCATGGCCTTAGCTGGTTTGGTTCAGTGTATAGAGTGTTGCCCTGTGGACTCAAGGGTCCTGGGTTCGATTCCTGCCAAGGGCACATGCCCAGGTTGTGGTCCCCAGTAGGGGGTATGCAGGAGGCAGCCAGTCAATGACTCCCTCTCATCATTGATGTTTCTCTTTCTCTCTTCCTCTCTGAAATCAATAAGAATATATTTTTATAAATAAATACATAAATAATAACCTATGTCATGGATTCTAATGAAGAGTAAATGGTATGACTGAAAAAAACAACAATAAAAGGTTAGTAAATGCTATTATCATCATTTTCATTGTTATAACAATAAACTAGAGGCCTGGTGCACAAAATTCTTGCACAGGTAGGGTCCCTAAGCCTGGCTGGTGATCAGGGCCGTTTGGGCCTTCTGGCTGCCAGCCAGGGCCTTCCTTTGTTCCGTCCCCTGGTGGTCAGAGCACATCATAGTGAGCGATCAAACTCCTGGTCTCCCAATTGAACTCCCAAAGGGACATAAAAGTATATTAGGCTTTTATATCCTATCCTATATAATAAAAGCCTAATAGACTACAGTAAGTGTCCAGTCGATCAGTCATCCATTCAACCAATCAAAGCATAATATGCTAATAATATGCTAATGCAGCTCAACTGCTCACTATGATGTGCACTGATGACCAGGGGGCAGATGCTCAAAGATCAGTGCACTCTAACAGTGGGAAGCCTGCTGAACCAGAAGCCAGGCTCATGGCTGGCTAGCACAGCAGTGGTGGTAAGAGCATCTCCCACCTCCATGGCAACGCTAAGGATGTTTGATTGACAGCTTAGGCCCATGGGGAGCGAGCCTAAGCTGTCAATTAGACATTCCCCAAGGGCTCCTAGACTATTAGAGGACACGGGGCTGGGCTGAGGGACCCTCCTGAGTGCATGAATTTTGTACACTGGGCCTCTAGTATATAGATAAGAAGATATAAACATAAAGTTGGTAATAGGATGAACAAACTGCTCTGTTTGGCTAATATGCTTACAGATGCTATTTTCTTTCTATTTCCCATAGTGGTTTAGTATTTACATAAATAACAATAAAAATAAAAACTTTACTTAATGTAGATGGGCTGTTCTTAAAATAAAGTGAGCTCTACCCAGAATGGCTTTGTGCTCATTTTACAACTCTTCGATTTAAAATACTCAG